TTCCCCGCATGCGCACTGTCCTGTTTCTGCACTCGGTCCCAAAAAGGTTCGCCAACACTGGCTTATAGGTATCACTTTGGAGAGTAAGTGAGTAAGAGTAATCTGGAAGCAGGATTTCTTAAAGGTGGCCCATTTCCTCTGGAACTTCCACAAACATACCAAGCCATGATTATTCATATATTAGTAATATTTTATAGAATGTTTAAAAACCTGCAGAACTTTTAGTAGTTGAAGATCATGCTAGGTAAGGCCATTTTAGCAGGTTTTTTTTTTAAATGAATTAATTGTAATTGCAGTTCATGTTATTAATTTTTAAAGTTGCCAACTGCCGGGTTTGTTTTAAGTAATGGTTAAAATATTTATTTGTTTGATATACTTAGAGTGTTTGAACGGGATACATGATAAATTGGGGAAACAAACAAAAAAATAATAAGAAACATTAAAGCTACCAGATCTACTTTGCAAAATTCCAGGTGGATAGCAGCAAACACTAGAGCAAAGAGCTAGTGTTGCTATTTAGTAGTCCTTTCAAATTTTGCATCACCTATTGCCCTTGCTAAATGTCGTTAGCACAGACTTGATCTAGTTTTATGCTCTAAAACAGTTTCCATGAGAAAGGACACCCTTCATTCTGTTGATATGTGTGTCAGCTATGCTTGTATTAGTGAATTAATTGCTTGGTGTCTTTGCCTCCTAGGATTTGATACCAGCATTTTACCAATTTGCAAGGACTCTCTTGGCTGGATGTTTAACCGACTTGATACAAACTATGACCTACTTTTGGACCAATCAGAACTTGGAAGTATATATCTTGACAAGAATGAGCAGTGCACCAAGGCATTCTTCAATTCTTGTGACACTTACAAGGACAGTTTAATATCAAACAATGAATGGTGTTACTGTTTCCAAAGGCAGCAAGGTGAGCAATTAGAATAATAGTCAAACAGTTGAAAGCTATGGAAAAATAGAGGGAAAAATATGCCTTGTGGCAGTTTAAGCTGGTTCTTGAAAACAGTGCAACAGCAACAACAAAAGAGTTAAATCCATACATATACAAACATTCTCCTATCCTAGATTAATTACATTATAAGAAATTCCAAAAGGTTTACTCAAAGAATTAAACACAAAAGTGGTTTGTTGTTCAGTGAGGTCAAAACTCAAAATGCTGTAGATACCTTCTTACTCAGCCCATGGACATAACTATATATATACTGTAGATACAGATATCATTGGTACATACCCTGTTTCCCCCAAAATAAGACCTTCCTGGATAATAAGCCCAATCAGGCTTTTGAGCGCATGCGCTAAAATATGCCCTCCCCTGAAAATAAGCCCTCCCCAAAAATATTGCAACACAGCAGCAGCCATGAGGTGACCACGCTCGCTACCCCCTGCATCTC